TCTATCTATCTATCTATCTATCTATCTATCTATCTATCTATCTATCTCTATCTATCTCTATCTATCTCTATCTATATATCTATCTATCTATCTATATATATCTATATATCTATGTATAGATATAGATAGATGGATGGATGGATGGATGGATGGATGGAAAAATGATAAATGGATAGATGATAGATAGATGCATGGATGGATGAATAGACAGATGGGTAGATGGATGGATGACATATAGATGGATGGATAGATTATAGATGATATCTATATATATATATATATGGATGGCTAGATGGATTATAGGTGGATAAATGATAATGGATAAATGATAGATGGATGGATGAATAGATGATTGATGGATGGATGGATAAATGATAAATGGATAGATGATAGATAGATGCATGGAAGGATGGATAGGTGGAAGGATGGATGATGGATGGATGGAAAGATAGATGGATAGATATTAATAGAGATCTAAAACTACTATAACAAAAGTAATCTAGTGTTTGAAAGGGGGTTGGAAGAAGTAAAAACTTGTTTTTGTGCCTCTGATTCACCGTTCAATATTTCACTGTATCAGTTTTCATTTCATATGAAATAACATGATTTGAATTTGCGTCAGTAAACTTTGCTTGAATGAATGTTGCTCTCAGAAGGTGTCTTTATTTAAACAATTTATACAAAACAACAATCACACAAATAAAGGTTACAGCATCATCTAGATTTGTCCTTAACAATTTAGTGCGAAGATTTAATTTCAAAATGGCAAACAACTGCTTTTACTTGGCTTCCACAGTGGTTGCATGTTTTACGTCTTTCTGACTTTTCTTAATGACTTTCATTAACTAAGCCTTTTTTCATTCCAGTTTTACCAGTGCGTATTAAGAAAATTGTGAGATTTTAATTTTGGCACAGCTTATATGAAAGCTACTTATTCTAAATATTTACATAATATAATAATCTATTATGTGTGTGTTTTTTTAGTAAATAGTTTGTCACTAAAAATTGTTCTCAGATAATAATGACATGTTTTGTTGAATTTATGATTGCATGTGCATGTCGACACATACCGATTGGCAATGATGTTCACTGTTACAGCACAGTACCTCTGGGTCCAGACCAAATCTTACTGCGAGGGGCCCAGCTGAGGAACACACAGTGGGTCCACGGTGTGGTGGTCTACACAGGACATGACACAAAGCTCATGCAGGTGAAACCATACAGTTTAAGTCTTTATGTTGACGTCATTCTGAACTAGTAAAATAAAAACCTGAGCATGTTTCCAAATATTAAAAACAAACAAACTTTTTAAACTAAGAGTATTCGTTTTCAGGCTGTTTATTGTCTGCACAGTTTGTTAAAAAAGTCATGCGTAAACTAAACATTCATCTTGTCACAAAGCAGCAAGAAGTCACTTTTAAGTTTCCACTTTTCTCTTTTCAACTGTCACCTTGTTACCCAGAATTCCACACGGCCTCCTCTGAAGCTGTCCAACGTGGAGCGCATCACCAACTTTCAGATCCTCGTGCTGTTTGGCTGCCTGCTGGGCATTTCTCTGGTCTGCTCAATCGGCCAAACCATCTGGAAGTACCAGTACGGCAATGACGCCTGGTACATGGACCTCAACTGTAAGAGTCCCAGCAGCCCTCGCTGCACATCTTATTCCACATATTTTATCTCGCTTGTTCATATCAGCTTATTCTTTTGATCATTTTAAGTTCTTAAATGCTAGTATGTGTTGTGTTGTTTTATGTTGCCTCGGTTCATTTGCTTTTTGTACAACAAGTGAAATATGTGGCAATGTGGGAATAAACGAATTCCCTGTTAACTCAGAAAACACAGTAGTGACATGGCTAAATGTGCCGTGAATGAATCTCATTGAAAGGAAAAAAAAGAAATGGTTGAATATCACTGCTCTGCTTTACTTTTTTGTTCTTTTCTAATGTTCTGTTTGATTTTTGTTTTCTTTGTTGTCATTTTTTTTAACAGCTCCAGGTAACAACCATTTAAAAGCCTTGGCCATCCGTGAATGACCCTCCCTTACTAACCCCTTACTGAAGCTCTGCCTTTGCTAAGCAAATGAAGCCCCCTACCCTCACCCCGTATATGGCTGCCCTACTTTGTACGGGTCTATGCCATGGACGAGCTCATACCAGGGATCCAACAATAGGTTTTTCCCCTCCAGCTCTCTTATACCTTCATCTGATTATTTTCAGTGCCTGATACAAACAATGTTTCACTTATTCTTCATTTTTCTTTTGTGCCACGTTAAACGCTTTGCAGTTTTTTAAAGTCTCATTTTTCCATGAAAAATGAATAGCAGCGTTTCATTTGATTGCAAGCGAGACGCAACTGCGCTCAGGAGGCTTTTCATAGTAGGAGGCGTACATATGTTTGTGACTTGGAACATAATATGTTGCAACTCACGGAGCAGGAGCAGACATTTTCCAAATGCCTCTTCCTCTCTTTATTTTGTGGATTTTTCAATGCACAGAATTACTTGCATTCTCAAATCATCCTGCTTACTTTAAATTACCATTACAACTTTAGTGACAGTCATTCTGTTGAGATAAACCTCTTAACTTGGTATGCAAAGTGTTTAGCGTGACACTGTTGCCATTACTCTGTACCCTAATAGGCCTTTTTTAGAACAGGTTGTGCCCTGGTCAATGTAAGCTTGCCTTAAAACTTACATTTTTCCCTCTCACCTTCTCCAGGCCATTGTTTTGAAATATTCATTATATATGACTTCACATTTTGTCTGCAGTAGCGTTATAAGCTGTTCCTAAAACTTTCTGTGTGAGGAAGGGAAGTGGAAGTTCTAAAGCAAGCATTCATCTTCAAATGATTTCTTTCCATAAGGAGTTGTTGAGGCTCTGTCCAGAGCATATTGTCATACCGTTGACAAAAGAGAGGCGAAGGAGAATGCCTTATTTTTCTGACTCCACTTATTTCCCCTAAATTATTGTAACTTCACTCAATCAGTGTTCTTATTTAAATTGAGGTCAGGCCAGCACTTATCACACGTGCTCACATCACAGAAACGTGTAATCGTGCAGGCTGGCTGGATGATAAATTTGACTTTGACTTTGAGTAAAGTGCTGACACTAGTTATTGCTTTTTCTTAAGGTTACTATAGTAACTAATGCAGGGTGTGAGAGCAAAGATTTACAGCTAATTGTTCTGAATTCATGTCAATGACTCAGTTTAGACCGTTAAATGTAGGTAGAAAGATGCTTGAAAGGTCATAGTTTTTTTTATTAAAAATAAATAAATTTCAAGTATACAGTCATCTAAAAATAGCGCTACCCATCTACAGTTGGCCAGAAAACGTGGACAATCAAAAGACTATATATATATATATATATATATATATATAAGGCATTATAAACCCTTCCCACTCTCTTGCAATATTCTAAACAATGTTTCTAAACTCTAAATGCTCTAAAAGAGCACAGCATGTCATGATTTCAGCTCTCTGCCTCCGGCTGCACTCTGCCAGCGCTCTCGGCCACGCCCACTTCTAGCTGATCAGCTGCAGGAGGAAGTTTCTCCTGCAGCTGTGGGCTGTACACAGGTAAATCATTTAAGATAATTTATTTTAAATAAAATTAATTGCCAATCATGTTGTTCAATCATCAATCAGCCATTGTGTGTCATGTCCAATCTTACTTTGAAAAACTACCATAGAGCGAGTCCGCGGAAAGCGAACTGCGAAGTAGCGAGGGACTACTTTAATTACATAATTTAATGTCTAACCATTAGACATTAATGGATTTTTCACTTCAATAAAGAAACATTTCATTGTTATTTTTGTGGAATTTGGTTTTCTTCAACTATTGTCAGAGCTGCTCCAAAATCTAATGTTTCACTATTATATTAATAAGGAAATACCACAACCAATCGGGCCCCACAGCCTTTAAAGCCTTACAAATATTTTAGGCTTATAACCAACTTTTTCTGCTGTCTTTCTCAGCATAATGTTTCTGTTTTTGCTGAAGATACAGTAAAAATACTTTGTTCAACCATAAGATTTCTGGCAGATTTTAAACGGCTGTGGTTTTCTCCCCCAGTGTATAGCAGACCTGCTAAATTCTCAAGAACCCGACTTAGTTTTATATAATTTGAATATTCTTTGCTGCAAACACCCTTTGAGGATTTTATATTCTTCTTAACTTTTCTTTTTACGACAAAGCATTTAGTACATTTGCAGTTGTGACCTACATGCATGCCCTGGCTTGCTAGTTTGTCTTTTTTTTTAATAACTCTAATCTAATTCAGCATTTCTAGATGTCATAATAAGCCAGCTCCTAGAAGTAACTAAAATGAGACGATATAGAACTCATTAATAACGCCCAACTTTTTTTGGTGACATAATCCAGCCACTCTTTTCCACGTTTTGCTGATTGAGAATACGCTATGGACTGAATCTCCCTCCTTTGCCTTGAGAGCATCTGAAATGTTTGTCTTCCCCCTCACTTCTAAAAGACGTCCTCCCTCACGTGTTGTCGTAGCAGTAGCTTCCATTCTGCCACTTCCTTCGTGCTATCTTTGTTTTTGAAACTGTCTTGTGGAAGGGCTGACCCTCTCAATCGCAAAGCTAAGCTCAAGGCTTGGGTTGAGGAAGGTGACATTTACACCTCCTGCAAGCTGAGGAAAGGTAAATCACATCCCTCCTGTTTTCATGTTTGGTGTCAGTGGGGTTACATGTTTCTCATTAGCAGCTGTTTGGGGCTTTTGCGGGACCAGCATTATTTTGCATAGTGCTTTTTAGAGTTCATTGCCTGGATCATGCTGGATGCCAAGGCTGCTGCTGTGACACTAATGAGATACTCCAGTCCCTGTTCACTACTTTGAAATTTTGGGACATTAAATTGGATTGCTAATCAGTTGAGTTAAAAGAATGAGGTTTGGTGGAAGAAAAGGTTAATTCCAGCTAATGCACAACATTGGCCCGATAAATTTTCTAGTCTGGGATAATGTTGATCCTTAGCCGGAAGGAGCCTCAGGCATTTTCGTTTAACCAACTTATATTTACAAATCAGTACTGATGGGTTTCTTGTGTATCATTCCCCTTTGTCCAAAACGTATCCCCTGACAGATGGCGGGGCTGCTAACTTTGGCCTCAACTTTCTCACGTTCATTATCCTTTTCAACAACCTGATACCCATCAGTCTCTTGGTCACACTGGAGGTTATCAAATTCATCCAAGCCTTTTTCATCAACTGGGTGAGTTAAAGCCACTATGAACATACTTTCTCTATAAAATACAAAGTATATATATTTAAAAAAAGAACAATACTTTCCTGTTTTACCTCAGTGTTGTATTCCAAAATCTACACAACTTTTTGCTTGTGTAGTTTTTGTTATTAAGACATGTATGTGTTTATGCTGTGACCATAAAAATTCTTGTTAAATAAATATTAGTATTATAGTTAAAATGAGTGAAATCTTGAAGACTGCGCTATGCTTTTGCTGCTGATTGATTTCAGGCTGTTGCGTTCATTCGTACTCATCTGCTCACACAGACTCATGTTCGTGCTGATGTTCGGCGTATTATTTTTGTACTACTAGTGCTTAGCGTATTCTTAGTTTAGCGTATTTCTTAGTTCAAACTGTATCTTAGATCGTATTACTGTTTTTCTTTACAATTTATACATTTGTTGGATGTAGCTGGGACACTGTGTACACAATTTCGTTCCACCACATGTACCACGAGGTGCGAATGAACTTTGACTTTGATACTTTAGTTGCATTGGTATTAACTCTGAATCCAATTATTTGGTTCCTGTCAGACATTAAGTAATGGTGGTTAAATATTAATTTATCTACAATGGCAGGTGTAAAAACAAATGAACAATAAAAAATAAAAACAATAATTTAGATGACCAAAACTAGAGCCCGACTGATATGGAAATTTTGACTATCGTTGATACCAGTATCGGAAGGGGAAGGCTACTGCCGATAACTGATATAATGACTGAAAAATTTTTTGAGCTTTGTCCACCCCCAAGAATCTAAGTAAACAGCTACTTTTAAACTTGTTTTAACACTTGAAGTCTTGAAACAATTTTCCTAACGTGCGTTACAATATGTCCCCAAACACCTATACCGGCCTAAAATATCGGCCCTACCAATATATTGGGCGAGCTCTTACCAAAACAACAACAAATTAAATGGAAATCGAATGTAGATTTGTTAGGCTGCCACAACTCATTTTTTTCCATTCATTCAACCTTTATTTATACAGTTTAATCTCATTGAGTCGCAAGAACTCATTTTCAAGAGAGACCTGCAGGTCTAACTGTTGCCACGTTAGTCACGTGCTGGTTTGGCCCCAAGTTGCATCTCTGTCATTTCCACTTTCAGCAAGTGGGAATGCTAAACCCGTTTCTGTTAAAAAATAAATAAATAAATAAAAACAGGTACCCAGGAGTCGTGGCGGATGTCTGGGTGGGGGCTGCCGCGCTGCTGCAGTTCAGTTTCGAGGTTCGAAAATGGGTTGTGGGTCGCCAGGCGCACGTCGCCCCTCTCTGGACATCCGCGTGCGTCCCACGAGGACGCACCCCTTCCTGCCCAGCGGGTAGTCATGGTGGCTGTGCGTTTGAGTTGAGACGGAGAGGGATGCCGAAGGCTCGTTCCGGCGGGTAGCCACGCTTGGGAGTAGGCGGAGGGGCTCCACCATTGTGGCCCATGTCACCCCAAGGCGAAATGACAGAGGGCGCACACACCCTGGCAGGTCCACCGCAAGTGCAGGAGGGCCACCACTGGAGGCGAGAGGCTGACATCGGGTATGTGAGGATTGTTCAAATGTGAAGATATTTAAAAATGAAGCAGAGTTTTTCCACAGAAACAGGTTCAGCATTCCCCCTTGCTGAAGGTGGAAATGACAGAGATGCAACTTGGGGCCAAACCACCACGTGACTAACGTAGCAACAGTACTGCAGAACACTGACAGTAAAATATGTTTTTTTCTTTTTGAATTGTTGTAATATAATTGTTACACAAGAACAAAAATAAATAAAAAATGCTATGTGATGCGTTAGTGCTGTAAATTTTTAGAACTCTGGGGGGAAAATGGACAAAAATGGAACTTTTAAAGTAAAAATTACTGTACATACCTACAGTATATTGCAACAAGAAATCGATGCCAATTTTAGCTTGGTGCTTACTGTGATGTGAGACTTCAGCTCGAAGATGTATTTATTACTTCTTCAAATAAATCTTGTATAAACTGATCAAATCTGACTGATTATACAACATTGTGAGTGTAGGTCCCTCAGCCTAACAGTCTGACCCAATAAGAAGAAAATAATATCTATAAATTATGTAAAAATCAGAGCAAAGTTAAATATATCTGAAACCCATATAGAATTAAACATATGATTAAAGACCAAGTCATCTTATATAACCTGAGGAAGTAGGCCAACCCTATCAAGTGTCTCATCTGAAGAATCATTCATCTTTTTTTAACTAACCCACAGTTATTTTGGGTCCATTTTATTCATAAATTCTTAATTAGTCCCTCACAAGTCATTTTTAGCTACATTCAGGATAGATGGCTTCTTTCTTCTCAGTCCCAGTTTGTTCTGTGTTCTTGAAAAAGATTTTGCTGTCCTGGTAGATGGGAAGCATCGGTTGTTTTGGGGTTTTGTTTTTGCTTTAATTGGATCGAGTGGTTTCTTCTAGGACACTGACATGCTGTATGAGCCCACAAACACACCTGCGATGGCCCGCACATCCAATCTGAATGAAGAATTAGGCCAGGTAAACAATATAATTTAAACTTTATAATTGTTTTGTGTAGTTATGGGTTGAAAATATTTTGTTTCGACTTAACTGCTATTTCCCCCAAATAGGTGAAGTACATTTTCTCTGACAAGACGGGTACGTTGACCTGCAACGTGATGCAGTTTAAGAAGTGCACCATCGCTGGTGTGGCCTATGGGTATGTCCTGTTTTCTTCCCCCCTTTCACTTCCCCTGACTTTCTCCTCTCATCTTCCACCGTTGTCTCCTCCTTCACCTTCATTAAATGCAGCGTATGCATCAAAGTGCATCTGGCATTTCTTCTTCCTCACCTTCTCATTAGCAGCTGCATCAGTGCTTCTGTGAATGTAAACTATAAATAAAACATGAACAGACACTTGCAAGCAAAAACCCTTTCAACATCTTTCATGCAGGTTGTATGCATAATTATTTAATTAATAAATAATAATTAATTGCATGTTTGTTAAAAAAAATAAAAATAATTCCTCTTAAGTTGTCCAAAATGATGTGTTTACATGATAATAGTCAGGATCTTATTATAACACCTGGATAAAACCAAAGCACAAAGTTATTAATAAAATGAATATGAATTAACAAAAATGAAGTAATTAATCACATATCGGTTTAAAAAATTTATCGCGATTAATCACTTTTCAAGACAAATTATAATAAAGATGGATTCATTCATCAATTAAGTAATTAAGTCACTACTTTTCTTGTTTAGTTTTTACTTAGACACACTGTTTAAAAGCATTTAAATAAATTTTGCACAGAAAATGCAGAACGTAACTAAAGTGCATTGCAAACATTCATTTTGTGGTTCAGAACATTCACTGTTGGAATTAGTGTGAACTGCAATTTAGAACAACAAAGTCCATGCTCAATATTCCAGGTATAAAATCCACCATTTTTCAGTCAGGTCATCTGGACGGTTTCTTTTTTTGTGCTGAAACATTTCGTCTTCGATCCGAAAGGCTTCATCAGTCAAGGAAACACACAACAAAACTGATTCTTCCCCCAACAGCTTACTCCAAAGTGGAACAAACCAGTTCTGCTTGTGATAAGATGGACTGTCAACAACAAGGAAGAGGGCCGGCAATGGAGGAGGGGTGTACCAAAGAGACCATCCTTCTGGATGCCTTCTGGATCGAAGGCGAAACGTTTCAGCACAAAAAAAGAAACCGTCCAGATGACCTGACTGAAAAGTGTTGGATTTTATACCTGGATTATTGAGCATGGACTTTGTTGCAATTTAGAACCTTACAAAACATTTCTGCTTTGTTTTGAAACCAGATCTCCTCCTCTACATTTAGCCAGCTACTAAGGCACAGCAGTGTCTCCACATTACTAGAAGAGAGAGCAGCTCTCTTTTTCTGAATGATGTGGCCTGAGAAGGAGAACATTCACAGGGTACAGTGGTGGCAGGTGTTGAGAGATATTTGTGGACCATTTGTACTATTCCAAGATTTGAGTTCGTTTTTTTTGACCACCACTGCAGTGGGAACTCATCCGTGTCAGTTTTGGATTCTGATTTGTAGCAGTCCAATGTAGATTGAATGAACTCTGCCTCATCGTCTGTGTTTGAATCAGTTGATGCAAGCAAGAAGATGGACATCTTCCTCTTCTTTAGTGGCACTTCCTCTGTTGTTTGAGCACCTTGGATCTGGGCATTTCTACCCTCTTTGAGCAAGTTGTTTAAACAACTCCACACTTCGCCTCTGTCAGATTTAGGCAGGCATTTTAAGTCCTTGAACCTGGGATCAAGCGCAGTAGCATTCTAGAGCCAAGTGAGATTGGAGTTCTCCTTTCGTTGAGCCAGGTCTTCACAAAAGGCCTGTTTGAATCACAGTATGTTGACAGTATCATCATCTGAAGGCTCCATGAATCTGAACATGTGGCAGAAGGCAGGTAACACCACAGAACAGGAGATGTAGGGCTGTCCATCCAGAGTTTCACTGACATACCTGTGAAAACGCATAAATTCATAACAACAATTGATTTATTAGAGCACCTGTCACCATAAATAGTCTTATTCCTGTCTTACTTCTAAAACATGCAGAAAAACACACACAGTTGGTTTGTCTATTCTTTACCCTGCTTAACTAATGTCAAGTTAACTAATATAATACAAGGAAACGGCAATAAAAATGTACCTGCATGGCTCAAGTAGCTCCTCCAACTTCTTCAGCTTTCCAAGCTCAGCGTCTGTAAGCAGGGGAAACTTGCTGTTGTGTAGAGCTGTTGTTTGCAGTGTCTGTCGGAAACCTCCTCCCTATGACGTCGCTGCCACAGCGGGATGTTTAGCCTTCAGGTGATATGTAAGAAATGAACTGCTTCGGTGGTAATTAAATCCACCTTTTCAAAGCGCACAAATTACCTTGGTTTTGTCCAAAGAACCATCTGAAAACAACTTAAAACAAAATTCAAGTTCAAGTTACCATAATTGTCATTCACATCACATGTGGTACATGAGGTGGGACGAAATCGTGTACGCAAGGTCCCAGTTACACCCAAAAATAGCAAAAATTGTCCATTTAATACTGCGTCTTCCTTTTGATCCATCGCTAGCTTTACTGAGCAAATGGAAGTGAGGTACGGCAACACCGAGGGGGCGCTTTTGTCGGGTTAATTTATTTTATTGCGTTAAAGTAAAAAATATATATATATAACGCAAGTACTTACCAGGGACGCAAGGGCGGTGAGCATGTCCAGAGAGACGCTGCAGAGTTCAGATAAAATCACTCCGTTCAAATAGTTCCCTCTGGAGAGATCCATACACACTCAGGGGGTGCCGAGGACAACCAAAGACGAATCCAGAGTCCTGAAATGATGACAGAATGTTTATTCAGCTGGGCCGCTCTGAAAAGTCCATGGACATTCCTCGGTAGGAGGGGAGGGAGGGGCAGAGCTTCAGGTTTACAAAACTTCCAGGCGGGTTGAGATAAGATGGCCTGTCAAGACCAGTCAGGGAGCCGAATTTAGATAAACACGATTGTTTTGGGGACAGGCAGAACATTACTGACATCTGCCTTCAGTCTGTGTCAGTCCACTCGGTTCCGAAACATCCAAATTACATGGCCACACCAATGGACTGTGCCTGAGAATAATCCCCGAGATCTGATCCATCCTGCCAAAAGCATGTGAGTCTGGGTGCTCGAGGCACGTACCAAGCCATCATAAGGCAAGCAGCACGATCAGGCCCAAATTTGCTGCCGACGACTTCCTTGATTGTAGATAAACCAGCAACCAGCCGAATCCAAAAAGCAGGAAGCAGTTATCATAAATCCAATTATAAATGCATCCTTAAAATCCACAAATGACAGCAGAGATAGACACGTCATCAAGTCTTCCAAGTCGATGAGATATCCATCTGCGTGCGTGCCAACAGGGCAAATCGGCTTGCCTAAATCCGGTCTTCTCTTCGAAGAAATGTTATCAGTTGTGTTCAGGAACCAACTGTCCAATTCCAAGTCCATAGTTATGATATGGAACATTTGTAGAAGAGAGGCTCTAAGCAGTTTCACAGACAGGGCAAAGCAAAGCGTAGTGGAGAGGGAGAGGAGGAGAAAACGTGCGCCCTTGAGAATAGCAAGTGTTGAGAACTGAACTTGAACTTGGACTACTGTATCTCTACTTTGCAGTTTTTCACCTATCGCGGGTGGGCGCGGTCCCCGACACCCACGATAAATCAATCAACCTTTATTTATACAGGTAAATCCCATTGAGCCTCGAGGACTCATTTACAAGAGAGACCTGATTTCAACAAAGAAAGATGACAACAATGGACAACAGCAACAACAATAAACAGTTATAAAAAAGCATACTACAGTTTTTTTTTTGTTTTGTTTTGTTTTAACAAATAGGATGGCTAAAAGGAAAAGGTAACAAAACAAAAAACAGCTAGATTCCAAGACAAATGTAGAAAACTGTAGAAATGTAGAAAAAAAATAAATGAAGGACCACTGTATAAATATAGATATATATATATTTTTTTTCTTCTTCTTTTTTTGGCTGGCCTTCTTCAGTGAAGTCGTGTGAAGATTTAGCAATTATTTTTTGCGCCAGATGTCCTTCTTGACGCAACCACAGACCACCGAGCTACCACAGCCCTCTGTGTGGAGCAGAGAGCTGCTCTCTAGTGTGCTCGGGGGAGCAGATGGAGGGGCTTAAGGGCCTTGCTCAAGGGCCCAGAGTGGTGCAAATGAGGGTGGAAGCAGGTGTGGGCGCTTCACCTATCCCATCCACATTTTGATGTTGTCAGTATTGTTTAACATTTCGTTAAGTCAGGCCTTGGTGTCTTCTACAAAACTTGTAATTCTATGCTTAGATAATTAGCCTCAACAAATGCAAAACAAGTGGGCGAACAGTGTCTTCAGAGAACCAGAAAGCCAGTGCGGGCGTGACAGTACATGATTAATCCCATTAGAATTCAATTAAAAGTGTGATTGATGAAGTGCAGACTGAAAGGCAAAAAGATGATCTTTTATCTTCATTTTATTTTAGCTTCATTTCTCGCTGCTGAAGCTTTTCATTCAGCTCCGGTTGTTTAAAAACACCAGCTGCTCTTCAAGCCAACAATATCAGACTGAGGGGTTGAAGTTCAAGTTATGATCTGAAAATATTCTTTACATTGTTTCTTTCCTTTATTTAATGTTTAGGACTGCCGGTGCTAATTAAAGGCAAATTTAATAATTTTGGTGTTTACTAATCTGTGCCACGTGTCTTTTTCTTTGTTTGTTTTTAGTTTTTTTAATTTTTAATTGGGTCAAGCTTGCTGGTCAACAGGGAAAGACTTATTTTCAACAACTAATTTATTTCTTGCAAGTATAACTGTTTATCATTATTTCTCTGAAACATCTCCATTTAATGCATCTAATAAAGATTTGTAAACATGAGGAAGATCCACAGTAACTGCGGCCATTGTTTTGTCTTCTCCTTTTTTTATTCTAAGAATTGGAGTCAGGGAGTTTACTGCTGTTTAATCTGAAGGTTATTGTTGTATAGTCCTAATTAATTCATATAAACAAGCTTCATGTTCTTTGATGCTTTCATAAATCTCTGCTCAATCAGGAAATATTGACTCATAATTGTCTGAAGATAGCTATTTTTTATGTTTGAATCTGAAATTAAAAGGCTAGAAAACTACCTTTCAATTATTTGACTTGACACCAAGAATACTTGAAATAGCTAACACAGATATAGAAATGTTCAAGCCTGTGCTTAGTTCTCACAGAATGGCATCACTTGTAATTTGGTGCCAGCACAAACACAAAGCCCCCACTGACGCGGCCGCCTGCATGTGTTCTTCATCACAAATTAAGTGCTGCTGTAATTAATAAAGCTGTCCCCGAGGGTGAAGAAATGAATTAATTCCACTGGAATGAAGTCCAAATCTGAAGGAGAAATGGTTTTCTGTTGATGAAAGGCTCTCAAGACCCTCCTGACCCAATAGACTGGAGTAAGAGCATACTTTCAATATGCCATCCAGCGAGGAAGCTTACAAAATAGGAAGCTTAAGTTATAGTTATTGTGGATTTTTTTTATTTTTTTTTGCCAAGCAGATTTGTCATTACTGACTATATTCTAGTGGGTGTTTATCTGATATGTTTAGTTCGACACATCAATTATCCGATTCAGACGTATTTGTTGTTGCAAATGATAGCAATGTTTCTTTTCTGAAAGTGAAAGAGCTAAATGCTCACAGCGCTAAGTGCTCACAAATCAAATGGAGAGCTGTAATGTCCTGCGGAGCACTCTTGTTACTGTTAACAAATTCTGCACTTTCAATCTAGGATACAGAAATGTACATTTAGGTATAAAATGTCTTATTTATAGAATAAACGTGGGTCAGAGCTCGCACTGAAATTTCAACCACATTTTAATTAGCATTTTCTGAAAATAGCTTTAGCTTTTTCAGACTCTGCTGCTTTCCAATGGTCAGAGTGAAACACAACTGTTGTAAGTCTGCAATTGGTTTTGCACCATTTTGAAACTAACAATGGATAAAAACAAGATTGTTGTGTGTGTCATGTTTACCATTTAAAGACTGCCAGCTTTGCAAAAGCTCACACGTGAAGGCAGCAGGAATCCATGTAAATATTCCAAACAGTGCCACCGTGGAAACTCAGTAGTGTTACACAAATCTTTTATCTGAGAGTCTTTGCAGTTTGTTTTACTGAATTAAAAAAAACACATACTTCTTTTCAAATAATTAACTGATTAAAGTTACTAATATCAAAAACATTGACATGCTTTAGCATTAAGAAACACATAAAGACAGTCAATACTGTTGTTTTTTTTTTCCGTGTGTGTTTGCGCTTCCTCTCAGAATGACCAAGTTTTGTAGTGGAGTGAGTCTTTTGACTCCACTTCTCTTTCTCTCGGTCTGCCTGTTTTTAGCCCAGGAATACTCAACTCAGGCATCATTTTTGTTTGAGCGAATCATACAGTCAACTGGTCGAAGTCATTTCTTCAAGTCCTTACTTTTTCACAGCCTGGACTTTGACCACAGGCAGCTGGTACTGATCCATCTTTTAAGAACAGTCATCAAGAGTTAAATGCTGAGGCAACATAAAATCCATCTATTTGGTGAAACTTTATTTAAAATCTCCAAGTAAGGCCTGTATTAGGCATCATCAGAGTCACTGATGGGGCATTCAGGGACACTCAGAATTTTGCATTTAACTTTGGAAAAAAATAAAAGGTACTATTTCCTATATGGAGAATACAGTAGTCCCTCATGTATCGCGGGGGATCCGTACTCTGAAGATCTGCGATAAGTGAAAAACTGCGAAGTAGGAATAGTAGTACAAGTAGTAAGTAGTATTTTTTTAAATTATTTATATAGATGTATATTAAAGCATTTTAAACCCTTCCCATACTTTTGCAAATTCTAAACAATGTTTCTAAACTCAAAACGGTGAACGGCTGATCAGCTGCAGCTGGAAGTTTATACTGCAGTAAGGGCTGCACAAATGTGCAGCAGGTGCTAAATCATTTAAAATAATTTATTTTAAACAACAATTTTGTGCCGATCGTGCGGTGTGCGTCATGACCAATCTCATTTTGAAAAACCGCGATAGAGCGAATACGCGATAAACAAACCACAAAGTAGTGAGGGACGTTTGTTGGTTACTAATGAATACAAAAGTTTCACATCTCAATGCACAACAAAAGGCATCTCGAGGTGCAATACCGTAACAAAATTACCCATTTCAGATCATATCAAATTACATGCATTTGAATTCAACTATTTATTCATATTTCTTAAACATTTTCAGAACCTTTTGTTTTGTTTTGGCTCTAACTTCAGATAACCTTCTACATGCATGCTTTGAGGCACCTCTTTTAAATTTAACCTATTTTAAATTTGGTGCTCGTAGTATGTAGCTCCTGGCAGTATAATAAACACAACAAATGAATCATTAGAGAGCTTGCTTTAATCCCCTAACTCCAGCACCTTACATCTGACCTACCATACTTTAACCTCCTCATAGACGAACCCATTTTAACTAAACCTGGTTGTTAACTGAAGACGTTGTCAACAAGATGCTTTTTGTTTCCGCCTTCGCTTCAACAGTCACATCCCTGAGGCTGAGGAGGGTAGTTTTGCAGAGGATGACTGGTAAGATGATGGGTGTACGATGATGGTCGTTTATTTTCCTGCTTCTGTGATGTATCAGTGCTGCATTGGCTTGTGGAAATTGTGACGTTGTTTGTTGTTCTGTGTGCGTGCAGTACTTCTTGAACTTGTTGTATTTGGCCGTGTGCATCTGTTGATGTGAAAGGACGGGCTCAATCCAATAATTCAGAGGTTGTCATTTTTTTGTGGCTCTGTGTATGTCTGGAAATAAATAAACGAAAACAGACTTTTCAGTGAGTAATATTGCTCTGAGACTGATATTATGCAGCCCGTTCTCCCGCGCACATCTGTAACTTTGGCATGGACAGATTCTCATCCATATACTTTCTCTTTCTCACACATTTGTTACACTCTCTCACCCAGTTCTCACAGATTTGCAGCATGGGTGTGGCATTTCCAGTTTGCATGAGGGTTTGAAGTCTATTTCAAATAAAATGTTGAGTTTTGCTACTTTAAAATATGTTTCAGGTGTTCATGAAGGTGTGTAGCTCCTGTGAAACAGCTGCGCTGGACTTTATACTTTCAATCCATGGATTGGAAATGCAAAAAAAGCAAAATAAGAATGATTCATTATCAACAAAAATTTAAAATATTAAAGGAAAAATAGCTTATAACAAATCTAATGTTTCCAAGTCTGAGCAATGAAACATTAAATGTCTGACCGAACTTATCTATGAGTATGATTTTTTTTTTTTCCTTTTTATCTAGAAGTTTAGAGTCTGTGGCTTGGTTTTGATCTGGATCTGATGCCTGATTATTGACTGAACAGCCAGCACTCGTGTTTCCATAGCGACAGAACGTCTGTTTGCTGGCAGATAATCGATACCGTAGCATCCCTCTCACCCAGTCTCGCATCTAACAAATTTCATCAAGACAAAAGGCGTGTTGAGCTGCTCCACTGCTGCCATTAAAAGAATAACAGTTCTGAGCTTCTTACACAGTTTCAGTTATTATCCATGGAAATGACAGAATAAATTAAATAAAGAATTAAGTACTAAGTTTGCAAATATGAGTCTTTATCCATTGTGAAACAGTACCATAATGTCCCATTTCAGGACATTGCATCCTCAAATTCAATTAAATTCAGTTTAGTTATATAGCACCAAGTCAAATGATTATCTTTTGATGACATGACTGAATCCCAATCAACTCTTGATACGTTTACTTTATTGAAACTTTGGAAGCGTTCATTTGCTTTCTGTGTGCATCTTAGCGAATTCAACAAAAGCCAGTACGGCTGGCACACAGCGCTAGCTTTGCTTTTAACTGTTACAGGTTTGTCAGTGCCCAGATAATCAAGTGAGAAGCAGAGCTATTTTCTCAGTGACGTGTTTAGTAGTCCTGTCATGATAAACAATAAATCCATTAATCTCATGATGAATGAAAACTATCAACCGCATATTCATTTATCGGCTTTATCGTTTCTTCGTGTCTCTTTCTACTGATGACACTGGATGACAAAAGACTCAACCGTGGTGCTCTTCACTGACCCCTACCCTTCTCTTTTCTCTTTAAAATCAGTTTTAACCGTCCAAAATCGTGTTTTTGGATCGTTAAAGCAGCTAAGCTGAGAAGCTAAGCTATGAGCTAAGCTAACCTTGGGAATAAACCTCCGTCTTGTCGAGCTTCAAAATGCATGGTTGAAACCTGTGCCTTCGTGTCAAAAGTTGTTTTTCTCTGCAAAAATATGCTGAGAACTTGTTTACTGATTGAAAAAAATATATATATTATTAAAGCTTTGTGTGAAAAATTCTATGCTAAAGAGATCAAACCGCACCGAGCGTCCACCATGTCATCCCATGTCATGTCAAGGGCCTTCCCTCCCATTTTTCTTAGACACACTGCTCTACTATCCATCCTTTGGTTCAAACAGTCTTATACTGCCATCAGGTGGTCAAAAAAGGTACTACACTCCAAACAAATCAACATTTCCAAAATTTGACAATTAATTATAGTTAAATTTCAAACAATATTTTTGTTTATCGCAATAATTTCTGAGACGCCCAGCAAAATTTGTTATTATGACAGGCCTAGTCTTTAGTCTTAATTTCTTGTGCAACATGGTGCCTTTCCCCATGAGACTTTTTATCTATGATGCTACATTCTTTCTTGTTTTTTCCTGATTATTTATAAAATAAGTGATGTTAAAATGTCTGGGAAAATTCAGGTAAATGTAATGTATGCCTTCTCCCCTCCCCCTTCAAAAACATTCAGCCCATGCTCCACTTTACTTTTGTTGTTTTATGTTTAAGTGTTGTGATGAGCTGACCTCTCCATTTCCTCTTTCTCAGGCACAGCACACACTCATCAGAAGAGGCTGGATTTAATGACCCGAGTTTACTGGAAAACCTCCAAAGTAATCACGTAAGTAATGTCAGGGATCCCCATCGCCTGCCTCCAGTGACTGCTGCTCCTGCTTAGGACAAATTAAGGAGTTTAAATCTGATTGTATGTGGTTATGTAACATATTATTTCCATTTTAAGTGAACAGTTTTGGCAAGCATGCTCCTTCAAAATGGCAATGTGCAGTACTGGGACAAATTTGGAGACCAAAGAATTTCCCATAATTTTCAGTAAAACAGTGCTGAGAGGTGATATACTGTTTCTGTGTACAATAATGTAAATACAAAGAGGCAAATGTTACAATAAACCCATTTGAACAAGATGGAGAGAAGCCTCACTCACTGCTTTGCCTTTTCTTAGTGAGAAACCCATGACTGACACCTCACCCACTGCTAATTACCAACCACAGCTCTCCATGCACTCTTTATTCATTATTTTTTTGATTTGTAACAATTTGGTCATCATTACTCTATAACTGAAAATGGTGCAAAGCATTGTAGTATGTATAAAGACAATCATTTTAATGTAATATAGAATCATAGTCAAATTAGTTTAACAAAAAAAATCTGTCTTCCTTTTAAATGTTATTTTGGATTTGAGAAAAATGCAGATTATCCTAATCCTCTGAGACTAAAGTTTAATTAACACACCATTGTAACTTCACTTTCACTTACCAGTATATTACAATATTACAAAAGGTAAAGAGGTACAAAAAGGTACAAAGTTCTTTATTTGCCATTTGTGCGCAGACTACCAATACAGGCACATTAAAATTCTATTACTCTCCCTTCTGTGCTAAATGAAATGATACAGTTCACCCAACACCTGATGTTCTTGAAGTGCAAACAGTTAATGGGTGTCGGGAGTGTTTTTACTTGAACATTTGTCCTTCTGACCGTTACTAGCAGTTTTCATGGCTGCAGTCTGTTCAAGGTAGTATTTTTTGCTCAGTGTTGAAAGGGATTTAACAAACTTGATAATAATTAGCTTTCCCTCTGATGCGTTCCATGTTTCTTGGATTTGCGATCCATCTGCAGAGCTTCAGCAGCTTTTGTGGTGGTTTACTCTGGGCACACCATTATTTTTCTCTGTCCCATGTTTTTCACTCTGAAGTAATAATAATAATACATTTTGTTTGAAGACGCCTTTCATGGCACTCGATGACACCGTTAGGCTTGTCACAATAACAAATTTTGCTGGGTGATTAATTGTCTCAGAAATTATTGCGATAAAAGATAATATTGTTTGAAATTTGATTATTGTCAAATTTTAGAAGACAGGTTGGTTAATTTGTTTTGAGTGTATTACCTTTTTTGACCACCGGATGGCAGTATAAGACTATTTGAACCAAAGGATGGATAGTGAGGGAGCGAGCAGCGTGTCTCTTTAAGAAAAATGGGAGGGAGGCCCCTTGATGTGACATGGGCTGTCTCTTGTTTCTTTTTTTTTTATTTTCAAAATGGCGGACGCTTGGTGTGGTTTGAGCTCTTTAGCATATCATTTGTCACACAAAGCTTTTAATAAATAAAAAAAAATCAGTAAACAAGTTCTCAGTTTCTTTTTGCAGAGAAAAACAACTTTTTACACGAAGGCTCGGGTTTCAACCGTGAATTTTGGAGCTTCGACAAGACGGAGGTTTTTTTTCCCCCCCGAGGTCAGCCCGTTAGCTTAGCTCGTAGCTTAGCTTCTCAGATTAGCTGCTTTTAACAATCCAAAAACGTGGTTTTGGATGTTTAAAACAAATTTTAAAGATAAAAGAGAAAGGGAGGGGTCAGTGAAGAACACCGGAGTTGTGATTTTTGTCAATCCAGTGTCTTCAGTAGAAAGAGAGAGACATGAAGAAACGATAAAGCCGATAAATGAAAATGAGGTAGATAATTTTCATTTATCACGCGATTAATTGATTTATTGTTTACTGTGACAGGCCTAGACACCGTACAATAAAATACAATATAAAATGCAGTAAAAACAAAAGAATAAAACAATAACATGATCATACATGACATAAATTAAGTACAGGTTATGTGGCTAGGAGAGTCCTGTTTAAAGAGAATAGTTTTGATTGGGGATTTGGAAAATGGAGATTGTGGGAGAATTTTGATGTTTGTGGGGAGCAGGCTCCAGAGGTGGAGTGCTGAGTGAGCCCATAGTGATCAGATGCGCAGGTGGTTGGGTGAGTCAGAGTCAGAGAGTCAGAGTCAGAGTTTCTTTATTGTCATTCGCACCTCATGTGGTACATGTGGTGGAGCGAAATTATGTACACAAGGTCCCAGTTACATCCAACAATAAAATGTATAAGAAAAACAGTAATAAGATCTAAGATATGAACTAAGAAAAACATCAACTAAATATACACTAAGCACTCATAACATAAAACATTGAACATCAGCACAAACATGAACATGAGTCTGTGAGCAGATGTACACGCATGAACACATCAACATTGAAACAGATCAGCAGCAACATGAAACAGATCAGCAGCAACATGATATGGTTTTTCACAGTGATTATTCTGGTTAGAGATTCATGAGTCTAACAGCCTCAGGGTAGAAGCTGTTCCTCAGTCTAGTGGTTCTACACTTAATGCTCCTTAACCTCCTTCCTGAGGGGAGTGGGGCAAAAAGTGAGTGTGCTGGGTGAGTGGGGTCCTTCATGATGCAGGTGGCCCTCTTCCTGCATCTGGAGGTGTAGATGTCTGTGATGGTGGGGAGACTGATTCCAACAGATTTCTGTGCAGCCTTCACCACTCTCTGCAAAGCTTTTCTTTCTGCAGCTGTGCAGCCTCCATGCCACACATTGATGCTCGAGCACAGGATGCTCTCCACTGCACACCTGTAGAAGGAGGTGAGGACTGAGCTTCCCAGACCAGCTCGCCTCAGCCGTCTGAGGAAGTAGAGTCTCTGATGAGCTTTCTTGATCAGGCTGGTGGTGTTGTTGCTCCAGCTGAGGTTGTCATTCATGTGTACACCCAAGTACTTGTAGCTGGAGACCACTTCCACCGCAGATCCTCTTATGTTCAGGGGGGTGTAGGTGTTTTTGTTCCTTCTGAAGTCCACAATCATCTCCTTTGTCTTCTTCACATTGATGTGAAGGTTATTCTCTCTGCACCAGCTCTCCAGGTGTTCCACCTCTTGCCTGTAGCTGGACTCATCATTGTTTGTGATGCATCCCACCACCGCTGTATCATCTGCAAACTTTACAATGTGACAGCCTGGATGGGTAGCTGCACAATCATATGTGAGCAGAGTAAACAGAAGGGGGCTCAACACACATCCCTGAGGAGAGCCAGTGCTGAGGGTTATGGTGGAGGAGGAGAGGTTGTGGATCCTCACTAACTGTGGTCTGTTTGTTAAAAAGTCTAGTACCCAGTTGCAGATGGAGGGGCTTAGTCCTAGTGTGGATAGTTTGTCCATCAGGGTTTGGGGGATCATGGTGTTGAAGGTGGATGTGAAGTCCACAAAGAGCAGACGGACGTAAGAGTTTTTCTGCTCCAGGTGGTTGAGTGCAGTGTGGACCACAGAGGAGATTGCATCCTCTGTTGATCGGTTCTCACGGTATGCGTACTGATGAGGGTCCTCGTTGATGTTGATGGTTGTTTTGATGTGAGTCATGACCAGTTTTTCGAAGCATTTAGCGACTATCGGGGTGAGGGCCACTGGCCGATAGTCATTCAGACCAGTCACTGTAGAGCTTTTTGGGACTGGGATGATGGTGGCAGTCTTCAGGCAGGTGGGAACTGTCTCCAGGGTAAGTGAGGTGTTAAAGATGTCTGCCAGCACCTCAGCTGGGTGGAGGAAGAGGACCTGAGAGAGTAGCTTGGTGTTAATGTGGAGGAGTTCTGTGCGAAACTGAGGGGTGAGGTTGTTGAGGGTTTTGAAGGCGAGGAGCAACATTTTGTAGGAAATGTGAGAAGTGACAAGTGTTTGTTGCTGTGGCTGTAAAACAAGTTGCGTAGAAGTGAGTGGGGATGATGGCTGTGCACCTTTGTGTAAAGGATTGCATCTAATTTCACAGTCAGAGCAAGAACATGTTGTGTTAACACAGCCATTTATAACTGAGAGTTCATTTGCTGGATGTTTTCTCAATCTTGAGCTCTAAATTTAGTTCACACACAAGATCTGTCTCTTACACTCTCACACATACACACGGCCAGACGTATACACCAACATGTCCTTCAGAGGGTACCTGTCAACCTACAGCAGATTAGCATGCTGCTAGGAGACAAAGGGCCTCTCACAGCCACCTGGACTGTAATGAACTCTTATTTTCCACTCACAAGTGTCGCTTTGATTCACCTTTTTTGTCCCCATCATTTATTTTCTACTTTGCTCCTTTCATCACCGTCCTCAAGGCCAGTTGAAAGAAAATATTACTCCGAGCTTTAGTGCACAGCTTTGCTCGAAAAGTGGAATATAGCACTTTGCAGCATCCCTAAATAGTCCCTATTTGTGTGTTCACTGTGTAACTGCAGGTTGAAAGCTGTATTGATGGCTCGTGGTTTTGATAAAATAGGAATTTAATTATGCTCAGTCTGTTTTTAGCTCATTGTTAATAGTTTGCAGCCAAGCTACTGTTGGTCCTGTTGCTGGATTATTCAGACCTTTACGGTCCCTGAGGCTTCTGACTTCTCTGACTCAGTTGTAGTCGCCGACTCCAAACTGGTGGTCCTTCAGCATTGGGTAGGAGCTTTAGCAGATGCCTGTCTGAGTCCACCCTACAGCAAATTAGTCATACTGGTCCCTTCATTAATGTAAATGCCCTCAGTATGTAGGCCGAGTCCTTTTTACGTTAGCTGAGGCTAGTTCATATTGGATGAAAAAGCACGACTAAATGTGTGTCAGAGCTTGAATCTTGCAGGCATGCTCTACGTGACCCAATTGGCTTGTTTCCAGTGGTTATTTGTTTGCTTAAATGTAATTGCTAAGAACTGAAGCCACATGTTTTTGATATACTGACAAACACTTAGGCTGTTTTTGTATTTACTGTTGGCATAGGAGAAAATGTCATTTTTTTTTATTTATTTTTTTGTCTTCAGCTTTAAGACCGCAATAAATATTTTTATAACTCAGATTAGAACAAGATGTGCAAATGCGTCAAGGTCTTTGGTTTCATTTAAGAACATTAAAAGTCAATGTGACTCTTCTACTTTCTGTAGCCCACAGCTGCTGTTATCCTGGAGTTCATGACCATGATGGCCATCTGTCACACAGCAGTCCCAGAGTGCACGAACGGAAAAATCACCTACCAAGCTGCATCTCCAGGTATCACACTTTCTACTGGAATGTACTTCCTATATATAAAAGATGTTGCTTTGGAATGATAACAGATCTGTGCAGTCACAGCTGATGATTCGCCCAACAAATGCCTTTGTTTCAATTTGTTACCTTGAAATTGTTAGCAATGGTTATTTTCAGATGCAGCCCGTAAATTGTTCATTATGTAAAGCAAGATATGCTAACTTGAGCTTTGTATTGTAGAAGAGGTTGAGGATTTCACCGTTAAAAATGATATACTTCAACGCATGCAGCAAATTAGTAATTTAAACCATTGCATATAGGAAGCAGTAGTGCTAGATACAAGCTTATTACTTTTTCATCAGTATCACACACTTCACACATTGTGTGTTGTTTAAATGGGAAATAATGAGCTCTGGCACATACAACCTTTAGGGGGCACAAGTGTCAAAATTATAGAAACTGTTCCTGTGCTCTCGGATTTACTGTATTTTTAATTCCAAGCTGCTGCTGGAAGTGTTGTTAATATATCAGACCTTTTGCTACAGCTCTACTAATCCACATCATAAAATTCTGGCCCTGCTTCCAGGTGCTTTGTAAAGATACTCTGCTTATTGCTTCTCTGTAATGTTTAATTTTCCATTAAGTTACATTTGGCTGAGCTGAGGGAGCAGAGTGCTCTAGCCTCTTGGCTTCAACGTTTCAAGCAATTTGTTTTCAAAAGAGCCAGAAATGCTCTGAAATAAAGTTTCCTGTTTATAGATTGCAGGATGTGTTGTATTTGACTTCCTTTAGCCTCACTGTGATCTTTCTGTCCATCAGTGTAACAGACTGAGGCAGCTGTCCATTAACAAAACATGGCCTTCAACATTTTCTATTAGTTCACAATAAATATTTTCAAAAGGAAGAAATACTTCTCACATGCTTACAGAAATCCATGCAGCTTGGCAGCAACGTTTTGCTTCTGCGAGAAGTGTTGAGACTAAACTGGAACTTTCTAGACAGTCACATCAGTTGTGTTTTTGATATGTGTGTCTCCCAATAATCCCAACTTTGATCCTAAAAAAATACATTATGCTTAAATTCCTTTTATCTGTAGACACTCAGTGTCGACCAAGATAACCAAATATTTGTAGGAATAGACTCAATAGGAACACCATTCGAGGATAAAATCAAAGGAAGAACTGCTGAGACCAACTTCCTGTTTAAAAACGACATCCCTTTGGTTGGCGTTTAGGACAAGTTTGAGACTGAACAAATCAGACTGGATGATGTCAAAGCCGGATCGCAAAAGATGGAAAACCTTAGCAACTGTTTTAGCTCGACAATAAACAATTGTCATCAGCATAGAAATGTAAGGATTCATCAGGGATGCTCTGACCTACATTATCTATGTAGATTCTAAAGAGGGTGGGTCCTGAGACTGAGCCTTGTGGTACACCATTGTTGTAAAGAGGGTGGGTCCTGAGACTGAGCCTTGTGGTACACCATTGTTGACTGTTAAATAACTAGAGGAAGTACCATTATGTTGAACACATTGCCTCCGGTCTGAGAAATAGTTAGTGAACCAACCAATGGAGGGATCTGAAAAACCAATTTCTGAGAGATTATGACATCTTTTCCTGTGTGTTTGTGGAGTTATGTCCATCTGTTGCATTTTGTGCTTTTTTTTTTTTTTCAAGATGAAGGAGCTCTGGTGAGAGCAGCTCGAAACCTTGGCTTTGTATTTTCTGGCCGAACTCCAGACAGCGTGATTGTGGAAATGGTAAGAGAAGACGAGTTGGACGAGCAAGCTATTGTGCTGATGGATGGACTCTCTTAAACTTTTTAACTGACCTCATGGTGTCCTGGTGGGACTTCAAATACAAAATAAATAGACCAAATCCCAGACTGTGGCATTGGACAGTGAAATTAATGACACAAATATAATTTAAATGTAAGGAATGTAAAAAACAGTTCTTAAAGTATGTGTCTTTAAATACTGAAAACAACTGCAAGTTCATAACCTGTCCAAGTCTGATATTGGTAATTTATTTGGATTAAGTGAGACAGTGTTGATTGATAAACCATGAAAAGGGAGCTGATTTGTTGTGTTGCTTTCAGGAGTAAAACCATCAAACTGTTCTAATTATATTCCAACCTGAGGTGGTGCGTCCTCTCCAAGAGCTATTCTTTAGCTTAATTACCTAAACTGATAATTGCACTCAGAGTCCCTGAGGCTAAAAAGGCCTTGGCTATTTTAAATGGTTTTTTTAATTATTATTTTTTTTAATCTCAGATCAGATAATTTTGTGTTCTAAAAGTCCGTCCTATTTCTTAATTTTCATTAGACCTTCTAAAGCTCTGTGCATCTACTTAATCACTTTGTCTTGTTGTCTAGCTGTTTTCACAATCAGGGAAGTTAATTTAATTTTACCTTATTTTCCCTCCGTCGGCTCATTAGAGGTAACTGATAAACACATTTAAGCTGCAATTAAGGTCGATTTGAAAAGGATGGAAGGGTTGATTTGTGTTACTGAATATAAGCTGTCTGAAAAAACAAAGGTGGGGTGTCTCTTTCAGAACGTTTTAACCTGCACATTTCTTTGATTTAGCTCGAAACGGAGGAAAAGTACGAACTACTTCATGTGCTGGAGTTCACAAGGTATTTTTTGACAACTGTATTTATTTTAGTTATTAAATTCACTGTGGTGGCATCTGTAGTTGTTCTACTTATCTCACCTTTATAATTTTATTCTTTAGTTTTACTTAGATGTTGATATCTTTTTAAATTGTATTTTGAATTGTGTTAGATCAGACATTGTGAATGAGCTTGGTGTTCTTGTTATTACCCGCTTCCAAAAGAGCAATGTGTGCTGTGTAAGCAAAATATTTCACAAGTTGCAAAAACATAACGTCCAGATGATCTGACTGAACATTGTTGGATTTTTACGTGAATTATTGAGCATGAACTTTGGAGCTATAACTCAGTTTTACACATTTTAAGTTAAAGTTGGCGGTGGAAGTAGCTGAGAGTCATTACTAACACATACTCTGAGAGCTAACTCACCTAACATGAGATCACACATATCATCCTTTGCAAGATGATCAAAGCACAAGCATTTCTTCTAACAATGCTAGGCCTTTAAGTTTATCTTGTTTTTGTCTCATTTTATTTTTGGCTTTTGTTGTTGTTTTTTAGTGCGAGGAAGAGGATGTCGGTCATCATGCGCACTCCATCTGGGAAAATCCGCCTCTACTGCAAAGGAGCTGTGAGTGCCCGTCTCTCTCCATGGCAACGCATGACAGCACATCATCACACATCAGTGCCACGCACACACACACACACAAACGGATCAAATGCTCCTCTCATCGCCTCTTGCTCATATCAGGACATTTTTTCAATGAGCAGCAGGATAAAATGCTACATTTCACACAAGCAGAGGCACAAACTGAGCGTCATTTGAAGATGCTCAGCCAATGGAACCGCCTGGTTTATAATCTCCAGGAGCACAAGTCTGCAGAACCTCTTGGTTTAGTAGCAAAGGCACTCTATAGTGAAAAGATAGTGATGTTTTGTGCAGCTTTGGTAATTAGAGAACACTCTTTTTTTCTATAAACTTAACATTAAAAATAAAAAAGCATGGCTGAAATTTAACCATGGACTGTAATGTAGTGGGCCATACATGTGTGCTGCTGTGTTTTGAGTCCAGGATGTTACCGTTTCTTCTTTCTGGGTGTCACTAACCGATGAGAGTTGGTTTCCCTTCAGGACACAGTGATCTACGACCGTCTGGCAGACAGCTCGAGGTACAAAGAGATCACATTAAAGCACTTGGAGCAGTTTGCTACTGAGGGTGAGTGGAGAAACATCGCCCCCTGTCTTAAGTTGCCTCTACGCTGCAGCGCACAATCCTCATTTATTTATCGTCATAATCACATTCTCCTCTTTAGAAACACAGTGAGTTTGATTTCCTGAAGATATTTTCCTCTTATAAGATGCATATCTTAAACGGTATATCCCTTCTTCCTATAAAATAAGGCTGTGCACGTTTGGGTAAAAGCAAGAGACACTAGAACTGTATTCTGTGTTCCTGCTGCCCCCTTGTGAGGCAGCACCAAACTGATGTCATCAGAAATCTTTGATGTGAGCTAAAAATAGTATTCAGGACAGACTGTGAAGTCATTTGGTAAAAGATGAAAATGGCAACGAGATCAATTCAGTATGGTTTATTAATACAATGGGAATTTGCAACAAATGTCACATCAGGGCAAACATGTCCAAATCATAACTCTAATTTAGTCCACATCAAATCCAGATTCAAATCCAATTAGAACCAGTTCGGTCCAAGTTATAATGCAATCACATTTTGTACAATATGGAATTTGTTTTGGTACAAAGTAGATTATATAGAGAAAGTGATTAGATGTTTATTTAACAGGTTCTAAAATGTGCCTGAATTAACTCAATTCTATTCAGTTTATTTATATAATGCCAAGTCACAACAGAAGTCATCTCAGGGCACTCAGCAGAAGCATTCATGCAAATTAAAAGTAAGTTAATAACATTATTTATCTGAGGAGCAGACTGCTTTGAGTTTAACCATCGCAGACTCTCATCCCGAGCAAGCATAAAGGCAACGGTGGAAAGGAAAAACAAAAAAAAAGCAATTAAAAAAAAAAGTTTGAATGTATCAAAAGCTAAATGCTAAAAATAAAGGCACATGCTACTTAAAAACTGAAAGGTTAAAAAAAAAGACTAGATCAACCTGAAAGTAGCAGCACCGAAGCTACAAACTATTAAAACTAAAATTGAGCAACACTGAAGCAGACAATAGATGTCTGAATATTAAACTCTGGACAAGTAGGACGTTTTCTGCATTAGTTTTACATTAAATGTTCAATTAAAAAAAAACAATTCTGTGAAGTGATTTTATTATTCTTTCATGGTTTGACATTTAAGTGACTTAACGGTAATAAAATAACATGAGGAAAAAAATAAATTTGTCACATCCATCAGAACTGACTAAGCCGTAGAAATGTATACGTTAGTAATCCGTCTGTAAGGAGCTCCGTTTGATGAAGAACCACCATGTCCTGTCAAAGGGCTGAACACTTACAGAAAATGTATGTCACATTTGATTGATTCAAGTCCTCATGTCTGCAGCTGCATTGATTCAGATTGGTTCCTTGTATCTGGCTGATGGTCATTATTGATCACAGAGCCACATGTTAGACTGTTCGAGGTCATGACATTTGACCTGAGTATTTTATTGTGTTTTCAATCTCTCAGGGCTGCGTACTCTGTGCTTTGCGGTGGCAGACATCAGCGAGTCGTCCTTTCAGCACTGGCAGGAGATCCACCACAGAGCCAGCACCTCCCTTCAGAACCGAACCCTGAAACTGGAGGAAAGCTACGAACTGATAGAAAAGGTGTGTTAAGAGAAATGCTTAAATCCTGCCTTTGTGTAATTATTTCCTGTTGCTGTGACATTTTGTGTTCTTTGAATCCCTAAACATAAAGTAGTCCCTCGTTTATCGCGGGGGATCCGTACCCTGAAGCCCCGTGATAAGTGAAAAACCATAAAGTAGGAATAGTAGTACAAGTTGTAAGTAGTACTTTTTAAAATATATATATGCGTTTCAAACGTTTCCCACACTCTTGCAATCTTCTAAACGATGTTTCTAAACTTTAAATGCTCTAAAAGAGCACAGCATGTCATGATTTCAGCTCTCTGCCTCATCTGCTCTTTGCCACCTGCAAGCGTTCTTGGCCACGCCTACTTTTCTACTCCGCACGGTGAACAGCTGATCAGCTGCAGCAGGAAGCTTTTTCTGCAGTGTGGGCTGCACAACTGTGCAGCAGGTGCTAAGTAATTTAAAACAATTTATTGTAAATAAAAATTCCATGCCGATCGTGTGGCTCATCCATCAATCAGCCAATTGTGTCATGTCTAATCTTATTTTGAAAAACCGCGATAGAGCGAGTCTGCGAAAAACAAACCGCGAAGTAGCGATGGACTACTGTACCTCTCTTTGATATTAGTTTAGCAAATTTAGGGAAAAATTTACCTTGATTAAGTAAAAAAAAAAAACAGCTGTTGCATTGATTAGCTTTCATATAAACCATCCTTTTGAAAGGCATCTACAGTAAGAGTGAACGTGGCATGAGCGTCAGTGTCACCACTGAGTTGTAACCCCTAAGTCCAGGACAAATTTCCCCTAGGAGACAATAAAGTATATTCTATTCTATTCTATTGTATTCTATTGTATTGTATTGTATTGTATTGTATTGTATTGTATTGTATTGTATTGTATTGTATTGTATTATATTATATTATATTATATTATATTATATTATATTATATTATATTATATTCTATTCTATTCTATTCTATTCTATTCTATTCTATTCTATTCTA